TGAGCATCAGCGACCGGGTGGGTTGTTTCAGAAGATACAGATTCCGAAGTGGAAATGGGAGCAGATCACTATGGACTTTGTTGTTGGACTCCCACGGACTCAGCGGAAGTTTGATGCAGTTTGGGTGATTGTGGACAGGCTGACCAAGTCAGCTCATTTCATTCCTGTGATGACTACCTATTCTTTCGAGTAGTTGGCTCGAATTTACATTTGTGAGATTGTCAGACTTCATGGCGTACCGGTATCTATCATCTCTGACCGGGGCACACATTTTACATCACGGTTCTGGAGAGCCGTACAGTAGGAGTTGGATACTCGGGTGGAGTTGAGCACAGTTTTTCACCCTCAGACGGACGGGCAGTCCGAGCACACTATTCAGATTCTTGAGGATATGCTCCGTGCGTGTGTGATGGAGTTTGGAAGTTCTTGGGATCAGTTCTTGCCACTTGCGGAGTTCGCCTACAACAACAGTTATCAGTCCATCATTCAGATGGCACCGTATGAGGCTATGTATGGTAGGCAGTGTCGGTCCCCAGTGGGTTGGTTCGAGCCGGGCGAGGCCAGATTATTGGGTACGGACTTGGTTCAAGATTCCTTGGAGAAGGTGAAGGTGATTCAGTACAGACATCACATAGACCAGTCCAGACAGAAGAGCTATGCGGACCGGAAGGTTCGCGATGTTGCATTTATGGTTGGAGAGCGGGTCCTGCTTCGGGTTTCGCCTATGAAGGGTGTTATGAGTTTAGGAAAGAGGGGAAGCTGAACCCAAGGTTTATTGTCCCCTTTGAGATGTTGCAGCGAGTTGGGGAGGTTGTGTATGAGCTTGCCTTACCTCCCATCCTAGCAGGAGTTCATCCGGTATTTCATGTTTCGATGATTCGGAGGTATCACAACGATCCGTCTCATGTGTTAGATTTCAGCTCAGTCCAGTTGGACAAGGATCTATCCTATGTTGAGAAGCCAATGGCTATTTTGGATAGGCAGGTTCAGAAGCTGAGGTCAAAGAACATTGCATCAGTAAAGGTTCAGTGGCAGGGTCAGCTGGTCGAGGAGATGACTTGGGAGACCGAGCAGGATATGCGCAGCCGATATCCTCATTTTTTCACAGCTTTAGGTATGTCTCTATACTCATTTGAGGACGAACGATTGTTTTAAGAGGGGGAGGATGTGATGACCCGGTCGGTCATCTTGAGAGTTATAGCCCAGATCCCCTATNTTGAGAGTTATAGCCCCGATCCCCTATTTAACTGCTTCCCCCGTATCTTTTTCTGCTATTGTGACTTGCCGGGAGGTTTCATTTTGGTTTTTAGAAGTGTTTGGGACACTTAGTCCCTAAATGGAGGATTAAGCTTTAGGATTGGCACCGTAGTCAGAACTGTATGAAGACGACTCCGCAATGGAGTTCTGTTGATTCTGTTAGCTCCAATAGGTAGTTTTGGACTTAGGGGCATGTCCGGATTGTATTTTAGAGGTCCGTAGCATATTTAGGCTTGAATTGGAGAAAGTCGAATTTTTGGAGTTTTGGAACGGTAGTGGAAATTTTGATATCGGGGTCGGAATCCGACTTCGAAAGTTTTTGTAGGTCCGTAATGTTGAATATGACTTGTGTGCAAAATTTGGGGTCAATAGGACGTGGTTTGGTTGGTTTCAGTGTCGGTTGTCTAATTTTTAAGTTTCAAGTTCTTTAAATTTGAATTGGAGGGTGATTCTTGATTTTTGCATTATTTGATGTGATTTGAGGGCTCGACTAAATTCGTATGGTGTTTTAGGATTGGTTGGTATGTTTGGTTGAGGTCCCGGGGGTCTCGGGTGAGTTTCGGATGCTCAACGGGTCATTTTTGGACTTATGGAGTTGGCAGATTTTCGGGTGTTATTGCAGATATTTTTCTTCATCGCGTTCACGAGGGAGATCTCACGATCGTGTAGGTCATCTGAGAGGTCAACTAAAATTGCTCTTCGCGTTCGCGAAGATGAAGACGTGATTGCGTAAGGTTATCAGGCAGTGCACCGCGAACGCGTGGGCTAGGCCGCGTTCGTTAAGAAGAAGTGAGGTAGCAGTGGAGTTCGAGTGTTACTCTTCACGGTCGCGTGAGGACAATTACAATCACGTAGGTGTGAGCAGCTAGTGCATCGCGTTCATGTGAGGTGTTACACGTTCGCATAGAGTAAATTGCTGAGGGAGAAAAGTTGTTCTTCGCGATCGCGAGGACTTTTCCGAGATCGCGATTAAGAAATCACTGGGCAATATTAAAGTTCAAAAACGAGGGTTTTGAGTTCACATCACAAAATTGAATTGGGAGCTCGGTAGAAGACGAAATTTAGATAGATTTTTAGAGGAAGTTATTGGGTAATGATTCCCAACTCTTTTATGGTTATATCTCACTAATCTATCATTAATTTTATCATTTAATTTCGGATTTGGGGTGAAAATTTGGCAAAAATTGAGAAAAGTTCTTAGGCCGCATTTTGGGGTTTTGATCGAGATTTTGGTATCGCATTTGAGTAATTTTGGTACGAGTGAACTCGTGAGTGAATGGGTGATTGTATTTTGTGACTTTTACCCGATTCCGAGACGTGGGCCCGGGGAGGCTTTTTGAGCGATTTTTCAATTTCTTGCGTTAGCTTTGATTTCATTAGTTAGATTAGTTTCTTGTAGTTATATTTATGCTATATAATTGATTTTGGTTAGATTTGGGCCACTCGAAGTCGGATATTCATGGAAAAGGCATTGTGACTGATTGATTGAGCTTGGTTCGAGGTAAGTGGCTTGCCTAACCTTACGTGGGGGAAACTCCCCTTAAGATTTGGTACTGTTTGATATGTGAGCGCCATGTACGTGAAGTGACGAGTACGCACACGGGCTATTTGTTGTAAAACTCCATTTTTTTGCTAAGTCACAAATTGTTTTCTCCTTATTTGAAACACACTAGCATACGTAACTAACATGTTTAGACTAGAATAGCATGCCTACTTGTTTAACTGCCTATTTGAACTCTGTGCAGCATGTTTAGTGAAATTACCTGCTATCCTTGACTTGAACTTAGTCTAAGCTGTAGGATTTCTTGCTGTAACTGTTATTTCGATTGGTTGCGCTGCATATTTATTTTGGGACTACAGAACGGTATTTCCGGGAGATCCCCATATACTGCATATTTACTTTGGGACTATAGAACGGTATTCTGGGAGATCCCCCTGCTCAGAATATTTATTTTGGGACTACGGAATGGTATTCCGGAAAATCCCCCAGCGTATTTATTTTGGGACTACGGAACGGTTTTTCGAGAGATCCCCCCTACACATTTATGTTTGGGACTACGAGACGGTATCTCGGGAGATCCCCTGTTGTTATCACTGTGTTCTGAGCTGTTGTCTTTCATTGATTCTATTCTTGTTAGATTTCCATATTTATTTTATTTATTTTAACTGTGATATTTCATTCTGTCTTATTTCATTATATTTATACCAGTAGGCCCTGACATGATCTCGTCACTACTCGACCGAGGTTAGGCTTGGCACTTACTGGGTACCGTTGTGGTGTACTCATGCCCTTTCCTGCACATGTTTTTCGTGTGCAGATCCAGGTTCATCTTACTAGCCTCATCACTAGTTGCAGTCGTTGCTGCTTATTGGAGACTTAAAGGCACATCTGCTCGCACCCGGATATCCTCGGAGTCCCCCTCTATCCCCCTATGTTCATTTTTCCTTCTTTCTGTAGAAATGATGTATAGAACGGTTAAGACTTCTTAGTAGCTTGTGACTTACGGTATTCCGGATTTTAGGAAATTGTTTTTTGTACATTTTCAGAGGTGTTAATTGTATATGCCGAGTGTCATTCAGTTGCTTATTAGATATTTGTTACTGTTAGTATTTAATGTCCATGCTTTAGTTTCACTTCTGCAAAAGTGTTAGGCTTACCTAGTCGTAGAGACTAGGTGCCATCACGACGGTTCACGGAGAGAGAAATTGGGTCGTGACAACTAGTTTCACCCCTACGTGTTTTAATTGGAATTAATTGCTTCATGTTCCATTCTTATTGCCTATTTGACTCTTGTGTGCCTTATCTGAAGTTGTAACCTCTTCGACGGCCTCCAACCCACCACTCATCAGAACCGACCTGCTTATGCACCATGCCCTCGTCCCAACTTTGAAGAGAGGGGTCCTAGAACCTATACCCCAATTGTTGAGCCTCTAGCCTAATTGTTCGAAAGATTAAGAAGAGCGGGATTGAGACACCCAATCGAGGGAAGGGTTCCTGAAAATCCCTCCAAATATTTTGATGCCACTAAGAGATGCGTGTACCATTCCAATGTACCTAGGCACGATACTTAAGATTGTTTCAAGTTGAAAAATGAAATTGAAACCCTGATCAAGAGCGGAGTCATTCAGTGCACTCCGACACCATCCAATGTGAATCGCAACCCACTGCCAAATCATCGAAACCAAGGAGCTAACATGATCACATTAGACGAATAGTATGACCTGAAGGGAATAATTGTCACTATAGGAAATGTAGAAGCCGCAAGGATTCCTCCTCAAAAGGCTCTGATAATTATGGTACAACTAAGGCCTATAGTGATGGTTCATACTTATCCACAGCAACCTGCCGATGCTACTCGAGACGAATAAGATTGGGAGTACAAAATTGTCCCATGGACATACCAGGAAAAGGGAAAGGCCAAAATGACAGACTCTACTCCAGCCCATGGTACGACTAGGTCTGGGAGATGTTATGTCCCTGAAGATGTAAATCGAGGAATCCAGGGAGAGAACAAATTCCAAGGAGGAACATAACCGACCCAGAAGCCGCTGAGTTTTGGAAAAGAATGTCAAGCAAAGAGTATTCTGTGGAAGAGCAGCTTAAGAAAACTCCAGCATAGATATCTATCATGGATCTATTAATGAGCTCCGATAGTCATAAGGACGCCCTATTGAAAGTACTAAGTGGGGTAAGTGTACCAAGTAACACCACTAGTGAGGCGTTGGCCGTGACAATTGGGAAAATGGCCGAAGCAAACATGATCACTTTCAGAAGAGACGAACTTCATGTCGAAGGTGCAAGTCACAACAAGGCTCTTCACATCATTGTTAAATGCATGGACAAAGTGGTATCCCAGGTGCTGGTTGATGGAGGGTCAGGAGTCAATATTTTTCCTCTCTCCACCCTGCGGGAGTTAGGAATTCATTTGAGGGAAGTCAAGGAAAGCCACATAAGAGTGAGATCCTTTGATGGTTCACAAAAGGATGTTATTGGAGAAGTTTATCTAGCTTTGCAAATCGGGCCGATCGATTTTTCGGTATTGTTTCAAGTGATGGACATCTCCTCTTCCTACAACGTGCTGCTGGGCAGGCCCTGGATATATAAGGCAGGGGCCGTGCCCATCTACTTTGCACCAATGCATAAAATAAGAGTGGGATTGACAAGAGATCGTGGTTCATGGTGAGTGGGGTTACTTCGCCTATTTGGAGTATGTTGTTCCATTCATTGAATGACTGGACGAAGTTGCCTTCCACGTCGTGGAAAACATACAGACTACCGAGATGGAGAAGACTGAACAAAATTTGGGAATGCAGTCGATGTATAGATCCAAGATGGCCATGAGGGAGATGATGAAATATGGATACATGCCAGGAACAAGGTTGGGAGCCAAGTCAGATGGAATCACAGAGCCAATTGAACATAATGGGCAGAAAGGAAGGGCTAGCATAGGATATCAACCTCCGGAAGGGAAAGCTCGCACCGTTAGCTCCGGAAAAAAGGTTTTTGTGACAGAGCATGTTGCAAATCCGGTACAGAGTTAAGTACCCGAAGATGATATCATCGACCAGATGGAAAAGTTGTTCATGAATATGATTGAAGAATATTGTAAAGGAACTAATATCAAGACACTGACTATCAGGGATGCCAAACCAGGGGAAAAGCTGCAGAATTGGACCGCCAGTCCATCTTTGGTTCGCCGGGAGTCTTGGTAGTATGGAACTGTAAAAGTTTTTTTTGAAAAGAGAACGGTCAATTGAGGCATGTACCGTGTCTGTACCTTTTTGTCATTTGCCTCTTGTGAACGCTTAAGACGTTCCCATTTTGATGAAATAAAAAAACTTGTTTTCCTAAATATTGCAACTTTGTTTTACCGCTTTATTTATACTTACCTTTTCTTTTCAGTAATCAAATCGATAAAAAACTGCGTTCCACGATTATGACATATAACAAAACTGTCGAACACAACGACCCGGATTATGAGGAATATGACAACAGTATGATGCCAGACAATCTCCCGCAGGATATCGAACAACTGGAGAGTCAGAAAAAGCCCAACCTCAAAGAAACGGAAGTGGTCAATCTTGGAAGCGAAGAAGATGTAAAGGAAACCAAAATCAATATTCATCTAGAAGCCGAGCATAGGGAAGAATGGTTGAGCTCCTCCGATAGTACGTCGATGTGTTCGCATGGTCCTATGATGACATGCCAGGATTAAGGTCTCATATCGACTGCCCATCGACCCTATCAGACCGCCGGTCAAGCAGAAGCCCAGAAAGTTCAAACCTGATTTAAGTTTGAGGATAAAGGAAGAAGTGACCAAATAGATAGAAGCAAATGTAGTGAGGGTCGCCAACTATCCAAGCTGGTTGGCAAATATCATCCTAGTGCCCAAGAAGGACGAAAAGTTCAAAATATGTGTGGACTACCGATATCTCAACAAACCTAGTACAAAGGACGATTTCCCCTGCCTAATATTCACATCCTCATCGACAACTGCACGAAACATGAACTGCAATCGTTTGTGGATTGTTTCGCTGAATACCATCAAATCTTAATTCACAAGGAAGACGCAGAGAAGACATCTTTCACCACACCTTGGGGAGTCTACTGTTATAGAGTTATGCCGTTCGATCTTAAGAATGCTGGCACCGCCTACATGAGGCCATGAAGACCCTCTTTCACAACATGATTCATAAGGAGATTGAAGTGTATGTGGATGATGTCATCATAAAGTCTCGAAAGAGTTTGGAGCACTTGGATGACTTGAGGAAATTTTTTGAACGCCTGCGAAGGTACAATTTGAAGTTGAACCCAGCAAAGTATGCGTTTGGAGTCCCCACTGGAAAACTATTAGGTTTCATTGTAAGCAGGAAGGGGATAGAACTGGATCTATCAAAAATTAAGGCCATCAAGGAATTACTGTCACCAAAGAGCAAGAAAGATGTCATGAGTTTCCTGGGAAGATTGAATTAGATCAGTCGTTTCATAGCTCAGTCCACGGTAATCTGTGAACCCATTTTCAAGCTGCTAAAGAAGGATGCTGCCACGAAATGGATAGAGGAGTGCCAGAAAGACTTCGATAGAATCAAAGAGTATCTTTCAAACCTGCCAGTGTTGGTTCCCCCCAAATCGGGGAAACCATTGTTGCTCTATTTATCAGTCTTGGACAATGCCTTCGGCTGTGTGTTGGGCCAGCATGAAAGAACTGGGAGAAAAGAGCAGGCCATCTACTATTTAAGCAAGAAGTTTACGCTATGCGAGGCCAAGTATACCCTGTTAGAATGCACTTACTGTGCTCTGACTTGGATTGCTCAGAAGCTAAGGCATTACATGTCGGCATACACTACGCATCTGATATATCGGCTCGACCCACTCAACTACATTTTTCAGAAGCCAATGCCTACCGAAAAGCTAGCTAAATGGCAAATTCTCCTCAGCAAATTTGACATTGTGTACATAACTCAGAAAGCCATCAAAGGACAAGCTTTAGCTGACCACCTTGCCGAGAATCCAGTGGATAGAGATTACGAACCGCTTACCACGTATTTCCTTGATGAAGAAGTACTATTTGCCAGGGAGGATATTACAGAATCGTACCCTGGATGGAGAATGTTTTTTGATGGAGCAGCAAATTTCAAAGAGTCGGAATTGGGGCAGTCCTGATTTCAGAATCTGGACAACACTATCTAGCATCGGCAAAGATAAGATTCCCTTATACAAATAATATGGTTGAATACAAAGCGTGCATTCTTGGAATTAGAATAGCAGTCGACATGAAAATCAAAGAACTTTTGGTCATAGGAGATTTCGATTTGCTGATACACCAAGTCCAAGAAGAATGGTCCACCAAGAATGTCAAGATACTGTCGTACCTGCACTATGTGAAGGAGCTATGTAAGAAGTTCACAAAGATTGAGTTCAAGCACGTTCCCAGGATTTAGAATGAGTTTGCTGGCGCCCTTGCAACCCTATCATCTTTGATTTAGCATCCAGACAAGAACTACAGCGACCCTATCGAGGTAGAGATCAGGGATCAACATGCCTATTTCTTCCATGTAAATGAAGAAATAGATGGTTAACCATGGTATCACGACATCAAGAAATTCCTTGCGACCCAGGAGTACCTAGAGAATGCTACCAATGGTCAAAAGCGAGCCCTCAGGAGGTTGGCAAACCACTTTTTCCTCAACAGGGAAGTATTGTACAGGAGGACCCAGACTTAGGTTTGTTGAGATGTGTAGACGCTGCTAAAGCAACCAGACTATTAGAGGAAATACATGCAGGGGCATGCAGACCCCACATGAATAGGATCACATTAGCCAAGAAGCTTTTGAGAGCTGGATACTTTTGGATAACTACGCAAAATGACAGTGTCCGCTACGTGCAGAAGTGTCACCAGTTCCATATTCATGGAGATTTCATTCGGGTTCCACCAAATGAGTTAAACGTCATGGGTTTACCCTGACCATTCGCCTCCTGGGGCATGGACGTGATTGGACCCATAGAGCTCGCAGTATCAAACGGACATCGTTTCATCTTGGTAGCTATCGACTATTTCACTAAATAGGTCGAGGCATCTACTTACAAGGCCATCACAAAGAAGGTAGTGGAGGATTATGTCCGAAACAACATCATTTGCAGATTTGGGATACCGGAGTCTATCATCACTGACAATGCCACTAACTTTAACAGCAACCTCATGAGAGAAATCTGTGAGAATTTTAGAATCGTCCACCGCAATTCCACAGCCTATAGACCACAAATGAATGGGGCAGTCGAGGTAGCCAACAAGAATATCAAGAGGATTCTACGAAAGATAGTGGACAATTACAGACAATGGCACAATAAGTTACCTTTCGCTTTACTGGGTTATCGGAATACCATGAGAAAATCCACTGGGGCAACGCCGTACATGTTGGTATTTGACACTGAAGTTGTGACACTCGCAGAGGTCGAGATACCGTCCTTAAGAGTTATTCAAGAAGCAAAATTGGACAACACAGAGTGGATACGGGTCAGGCAGGAACAACTCATGCTCATTGATGAGAAAAGAATAGATGCAGTATGTCATGGCCAGCTATATCAGAACAGGAGGGCCAGTGCATTTAACAAAAGAGTGAAGCCTCATTAATTCTCATCGGGACAGTTGGCCCCACAGTAATTTGTTCCATCTACCGGATTTCGTGGCATGATCATGTTCGAGGCCCGGGAAAACCTACATTGTGGTCCACACAAACCAACTTACCCCCTACTAAGAATTTTTCTTTCAGTGCAGGGTCAACAGGGAGTAAGGGAGCTCTAGGACAACACTAGGGCAAATGACGGACCCGCCACTTACCTAAGATTATCTCTTTTCATTCTTCTAGATTTTTAGGTACAGCTAAAGCTAACTTCTATATCCTTTGCAGGTACCTCGGAATCAGACAGCTGATACGGAAATTTGTACATGGCAAATCGTCTGCTCACCCCATCGGAGCATCTTGTACAAAACGTACTGTTGGCTTCATCAATGGTTGTCCTGTATATAGCAGACTGCCTGCTCAATTAATCAAAGAACCATGTACAAACGAGTTGTCAACTTTACCAAATGAAGTCCTGTATATAGCAAACCGTCAGCTCAATCGATAGGAGTGCCCTGTACAAATAGAATGCCGGCTTCGCCAATCGAAGCCTTGTATACAGCAAATTGCAAAACTCCTCCAACAAAGCAATTCGCATCGCCATTCCATCGCAACAGATGCCAGAATAGACAGTCGCAAACCTCGTCACCAATGTTCCCCCAATCGATGGCCGCAATTTAGTTTCGCAGTCAAGAGTATCTCTTAGGCATGCTATCATTTCGTTTGTTGTTATTTTTGAATGTTTTAAAGTTTTGCTCATGCATCTTTAGGCATGATTACAATTTAGCCAATCCCTCCCAAGCAAAAATTACTTTACATTTCAGTGCAAAGCTCTCCCAACAAGCAGAGACGTACTTTACAAATCAAGCTCTCCAGACAAGCAGAGACATTTCTCAGTGCAAAGCTCTCCTGACAAGCGGAGAAGCACTTTACTAATCAAGCTCTCCCAACAAGTGGAGCCAATTTTCAAATGCTCTGACAGCTACGGAATGGTACACAGCCCGGCTAACAAATCGATTCAAGATCAAGTATCCCATCATCCCAATCCCAAATAATGGCAGTC